GCGTGCTCACGCTGCCCGACGACATCCAGAGGGAATACATGCCGCACAGCATGCATTAATTGCTACTCGACACGGTAACCGAATTCGATGTAGGACGTTGTGAACGCTGCGGCCAACGCGCCATACGTGAGTTCACACCTAGCTCATGTCCTGGGTGTGTGCTTTTTTACACAGGTAATAGGGACACCCTGCTGCGCCGGGGAGGGGGTGAGGCCGTACTCCTCAAGCAATAACGACGCTTATATATATATCCATTAACATTACATATATTATTATACGTTTTTACTTACATATACATATTATTCCTATTTTAATTTTAGCGCTATATTGTATATTATATTATTGCTTATAACATATTATTATTAAACTTATTCGCTACTACTTACATATATACTTATTATTGCTTATATACTATTATTATTATGATTATTCCTTTTTTTTTATTATTATACGCTATTTTAATTTTATTCACTACTATTATATTAATATATACAGTTTATAATAAAAGAAAAATTAGCAAAATGATACCTTTAATTTACATAATTAAATGCACAGACCACGCATCTTTTCATGAAACAGGTCTTAAGTCGTGTAGCCTGATTTACACCGCGAATATTGCACCCTACCACCGCCACCACCGTAGATTTTATTATCCTGCGCATACCGACGATCCGCCAAGCGCTTCTTTCGCACAAAAGCGTCGTAGTACTCTCGTGCGATTCTATCGTTTTTCCGCAAATCACTACTAAACACATTCTGGAACGCATGCATCCCGAAGCCTGAGGAGAGGTAGTGTAAAAACATCATACAGAATTGGCCGCACACCGTTGACGTCTCGCTCTGAAGCTGCTGAGTGTTCTATCGAAGGATCGACAGTTCCGTCGGAGCCTCGATACGTGGTGATGATTCAGCGGTGGTAATCCGTAGCTGTCAAAGTAGTAGCCGTCTCCGTCAGCGTCCACGTACATTGCAACCCAATGTGCTCCTGGTTTTGTATGATCGTCCGTATAGGCGATAATGGCAGCGGGTTTCGACCAGTTTCTGGGTATTCTATCAGCTGCGTA